GGCTGGGGGGAGGGGGGCGGTTGGGGAGGTCTAGTCTGAGGGGAGGTGTTCCAGGCTGAGGAACAGTGAGGAGGACGCTCAGGTGAGGGGCAACTTGGGGACCGGGATCACATGCTCACCGTAAGGCCCTTCCTGCTCCCTGCTGGCCCCTGAATCCCTTCTCAGGTCTGGAAGGCCGGGTGGCTGAGTCGGACCTGCTCTGCCCTCGGCTGTGAGTCCGTGACACCAGGTCTGCAGGGGCTCAGCCAGCTGGCTTGCCTGGAGCAAGCGGGCAGGACCATCCAGCTCATGTGGCCGAAGAGGACGACTGCTCCATTGTCACCTTACCAAGTGCAGGCTGAGCTGTGGCCTGGGCTGGGTCCTGGCAGAGGGAGGAACTTCTGCTCTCGGGATCTAGCCCTGGCATTGCCATCCGGCCCTCCTCGTGTAGGGAAGGCTCCAGCCTTGCCAGGCCCTGTGTGCCCCGGGGAGTGGGAAGGAGAGGGGGGCCTGGAAGAGCCGCTTCACATCTGCTTCTTCCTTGAAGCCTCCCCACGTGGAGCCAGCTCAGCTCCAGCCAAGGCAGTGGGGGCCTGGCTGGTGAGGAGGGGATGCTTGGGCGCACAGAGCTGGGCTCCGGTCCAGCCCTGCCCTCCCAGTCCTCTCTCTGCCTCCATCGCCTCCTCTGTAGAAGGGAATAGAAGCCACACCAGCATCGTGACACATGGAGCCTGAGAAGGCCTGCTCACACCAGCGCTGTCAGGCTGTCTCCCTGGGCCCTTTCCCAGCTCGGTCCCTTAGGACTGCTGAGAGTGTAGCCACTCAGGCTCAGGAAGGTGTCCCTGGAATGGGCCAGTCCTGGGGTGGGGAACCCTGACAGCAGGGCAGGCATGTTCCCTCAGATTTCTGGGCCCCAGGGGTGTCTCACCTGCTGCTGCTCTCCAGCCTTCCTCAGGAGCCCTCAGTGCTCCAGGTGGGGTGTGAAAATGGCTATGGCACCCTCCTCACCAGCAAATAGGGAGGGACAGATCGCTGGACAGAAAGAGTGAACCTCCTAGGAGATGATCTCATGGGGCAGGGACCCCCACCTTATTGGTCTAACCCAAACCTTAATCTACATGAACACACACCCATGCTGGTGCCTGCTGTCTCCTGGGCTCTACAGTCATGAGGGAACAGGAAGAAAGGAGTTCTCACCCGCCTGCCTTGGTGGAGGACACCAGTGAGGGCAGCAGGGCGGGCTGCCCAGTCCAGTGGGCTGTCCGTCGTGGAAGGGTCTGGAGCTGCTCTCTAGTGTCAGGTCAGTGGTGCGTCCTGCCACTTAATTGCTGTGTGGGCCCAGGCAAGTTGCTAAACCTCTCTGGGTCTCCTCTGCAAAATGGGGATGTGCGTGACATTTCCCTGTGTAACGGATGGAAGACTTCACAGTCTGGAGAGCTTCGTGCAGTGCCTGGCACCATTTGGGCACCGAACAGCTCGGGAATATTACTAATAATTCCCATCTTCTGGCTCCAAGGCTTGTGTTCTTGTCGAAGGGGTAAGACAGCAGCTGGCAGAGGGAGGTGGTTGCTTTAAATACGAGACGAGAACAAAAGGAAAATAGCTTCAACCAGTGCCTCCCAAACCTGGGTGGAATCTGGAGGGCACCTCCAATCTGTTGGGGGCTCCTGTTCTTTAGGACCCATGCCTCACTATTCCTGTGGGAGGAAGTTGACCCCCAACCCCGAGGGGACACCTCCCTGCCTGCCTACTGGCCACCTGCCCACCAGAGAAGCAGGAAGTAGGTTGAGCTGCCCTGGAGTTCCTTTGTATCTTTCAAGACATCAACTCTTCACCAGAGATTTCAACACAGGCCTCAGTGAACCACACGGGCAGCCCCCCACCCTGTGTGGGGCGGTGTACCCATTGTCTTGGTTCTCGAGAGGCTCCAGCACCCTGTCCTTCACCTCTTCCAGCTGTCCCTGTGTCCCCTCACCCCTACTCAAGATGAAGCCTGTGGTCCTGGAGTCTGTTAGTCCCGAGGGGACAATGGGCCATTTTCTCTCTAGCCAGGACACCCACTGCTCAACCAGGTAGAGGACAGGGCCCTGAGAGCTGGCTACCAGATGTGTCTCAACAAGACTTTTGGGTCCCCCTACTTAGACACAGCAGAGGCAGCTAAGGGGGTGGGGGGCAGGGCAAGGTCTTGGCACAAGGTGTCATTTGCCTCTTCCACCAAGTAACAGAGCTGCTGTGGTCGAGCCAGGCGAGGTGGTGGCCTGAGGACCGCGGGAAGTGGCCAGGACGGGTGGACCAAGGCCCTGTTACTATGTGAGTCCAGCTCTCTGGGTGGGGGCAAATAGGAGGCCATCCGTTTGTAAAAGGGACAGTGATGAGCACTGAGGGGCTGGTCTGCAATCAGGAGGCTCAGAGGCCAGTTCTGCCCAGTTAGGGACCCAGCCGAGCCCTTCATCAGCCCTGACCCTCCCTCTTGGTGATGCCACACCCAATCCTGCCACTCTGTCCAAAGAGGCTGACAGTCCCCCTGCACCCGCCCTGGGGACTTCTGGAAGTCCAAAAGTGTGAATCAAGCAGGCAGGTGGATAAACTCCGCGCCCCTCAGATCACTCAATCCCTGCAGAGGCAGGGGAGGAGAGGCAGGTACCCTACACGCGGCATCTCCTGCAGACAGCGTCAGTCCCACAAGCCAGTGCTTGACCCAACACTGGCCACCACAGTTCTTCCAGCTGCCACTGGGCCCAGAGAAATGGGCCAGCAAGGTACCAATAGGGATCCCCATCCCTCATGGAGGGAAGCAGCTCTTGGAGAACTCTCGTCTCACCGGAATCAGGCCAGGCCTTGGGTTGAGGTTTCTCCACTCCTTAACAAAAGCCCCAGAGACAGACAGGCCAGCTCCTCCAAGAAGCCTGCCTGGCTGCACCCTGACATCCATCTACAAGGACTACCTTGTGCCCCCACTGTGCTATGCCGTGTGAGGTGTCTGTACCTGGTACACTCGGTTGACTTGATGCCTAGACTCTGTCTAGGGTCTGTGCATCCAAGGTCCCTGGTGGAGGACCCAGTCCAATCAGACTTCAGAGATGCTGCATATTTTAGATCACGGCAATAAAGTGAGTAGAAAAGAATCACATTAATTGTTTTGTTTGCCAGAGCCTCTGAAAGTTACGGTCACATGATGCTGCAGTCTATTAAAGGAGCTTGATGGTTCAGTGCATTGAGTGTTGGCTTGCTAACCCATAAAAGGGCAGACTGAACCTGCCAGCCAGCCTCTCTGCAGGAGAAAAGCTAAGGCAGTGTCCTGCCGTTAAAAGCTGTAGGCTTGCTTTATCTGAGCCTGGAAGAGGGGCTGGAGCTTAACTCGGCCTGCAAAGGGGCAAGAGGGCATTGCAACTGAAAGAGGCCTGAGGGAGTTGAAGGGGGGCTGCTGGATGAGACACACACGTGATATCTGGTGGGCATAGAGGGGTACAGAGGACTTCCTGTAGGGTAATGATGCCAGTGAGAACAGCACAGGCTTCTCCCAGGGGGGACAGTCCTCTCTGGTCAGCCCCTCTCTGGCCCCATCTCTTCCTCTCTACCCTAAAGGCCTCACTTTGCAGCCTGC